CCCCAAACCCTAAACCCTAAAGCCGGGGCGGAAAGCAGGTGCTGGGCCTCCTGGGCTTCCTCATGCACGCCCGAGACCTGATAGAAAGGGCAGAGAGGGTTTAGGGTTTAGGGTTTAGGGTTTAAGGTTTAGGGTTTAGCGTTTAGGCTTTAGGGTTTAGGGTCTNNNNTTCAGGGTTCAGGTTTTAGGGTCTAGGGTTTAGGAGTTTAGGGTTTAGGGTTTAGGGTTTAGGGTTTAGGGTTCAGGGTTTAGGGTTTAGGGTTTAGGGTTTAGGGTTGTAGGGTTGTAGGGTTCAGGCTATGGTGTCTTACTGATTTTCTATAATGCCCCAAACTGTGAGGAACTTGGGATCAATGGCATCACCAGCGAAGCCGATGAAACGACTTGGGGTTTCGGTTTAGCAGACCCGAATTCAACTGTTAAGATATTGAGCTTGAGTTGCTGAGGGCCTTTAACGCGGGCTTTGACCTGTGCGCTTCAACGGTTGAGCGCGCGTATATGGGAGTCTGCAAAGCAACGGGAATGCTGTGTCTCCCTAAACGATGCGCCGAAAGCTCACGTAGCAAACAAGGATTCTGAGCTGCCCGCAATGACGACCCAGCCCTCGATGGATCTAGCCGCACCCGTCTCGTCCTTGGCCACATGTACGACAGGGCTTGGACGCGCACAGGACAGGCATCGCAGCTCAGCAGCGACATGGCTCAAGTGCTGCAACACTGCAGAGCAACTTACGGAGCTGTGCGACATGCCAGCATGAGTCCACGAGACGCTTGAAACGCGGTCTTTGTTTGCTCCTCCACGTCCCTTAGCCATGTCCGCATCAAAGTGTTGGCAAGCGATGCTCGGGAAGGAACGTTGAGGGAGGCAGGGGTACCGTCGGATGCCTCCTCCGATGACTCCAGTGCTCCTTGCAGGGTCGCAGGGTCAAACCAGCCGACATCCTCCAGCTCCTCATCGACTTGGAGGGTGGGGTCCGAGGCCTCAGCGATGAAACCCATCATCAAGGAGCGAGGGAAGAGCCAGGGCTGGGAGGCCACAAAGCGGATGCTTCTCGGATCCACGAGGACGCCGGACTCCTCCCGCACCTCACGGACCACGCACTCCTCCAGGGTCTCCCCGAACTCGACGAAGCCGGCCAACGTCGAGTAGCGCCCGGGGGGCCACACGGCCTTGCGCCCCAGCAAGCATCGCTTCCTGGGCCGCAAAAACAAAAAAACCTACCGAAACCCTTATATTCCATCGTATGCCATGGATGCCCTGAAAACCTTGTAACGCCCGGCAAAAAACGAAGATCAGCCCTCATGAGCTTAATATAGGGGCCTTAATAATTAGAATAAGGTTTTGGGGCCCATTATACTATAACACTAGTAAGGAACCCCCCCCCAAAAAAAATGTAAGTATTTAGGCCCCTACATGAGACCCTAAAACCTAAATCCTAAACCCGATACTATAACTATAATAAGGAACTGGTAATTACTTAGGCCCCTACATTATGTCTTCGCACCGAACAAGAGCCCCAGCTTTTCACGAGGTCCGGTTGTACGGAAGGTCGACTCAGAGAACTCAGAAGCTACATGAAAAGCCCCTAAACCCTATAAACCCTGTAGACCCTATAAAAACCCTAAACCTTATAAACTCCGTAAACCCTATAAAAGCCCTAAACTCTATAAACCCTGTAAACCCTATATAAGCCCCAAACTCTATAAACCCTGTAAACACTATAAAAGCCCTAAACTCTATAAACCCTAATACCTAAACCCTAAACCCCCAAGTAGAAGGATGATCTGAGTCGCTTGTGCCTAAACTCTCTATAACCCCTAAACCCAAAACCCGAAAAAGGCCAAAGGAATGATTTGAGTCACTTGTGGGTCACCAAGACGATGACCGAAGGGTCCAGGCGAGGACGGTAGCGCGCACCACAGGCCTCAACTAGGTTTAGGTCTGAGGGTTTAGGGTTGAGGGTTTTGGGTGTAGGGTTGAGGGTTTTGGGTTTAGGGTTGTGTTTTAAGGGTTTAGGGTTTATCAGCACAGGCCTCCATGAAGCTGAGTGTGGAGTGTAGCTGAGGGTTGTTCTCAATGATGGTCCCTATGAGAGTCCATAGTGTACATGTGCCTCTCCATGTGCATATATATATATATATGCATAACCAATCGTCGTCTTGGTTGCACAGAACAACATATATTATATAGTGTAGTATACATTTCTGCATAAAACAACAGTGCACATATATATATATATATATACATACATACACAGAGATAGATAGGTAGACAGATAGACAGACAGACAGATAGATAGATAGAAAGATAGATAGATATGGACAGATAGATAGTTAGATAGATTGACAGATAGATAGGGAGATAGATAGATAGATTGATAGAGAGCAGGCAGGGAGGGAGGTAGGTAGGTAGGTAGGTAGGTAGGTAGGTGGGTAGGTGGGTAGGTGGGTAGGTCGATCATCACGTGATGTCATATAACGTCTCCATGTAGTACCGTGTCATGTAGTACAATGTAATACGACAAAACATAATAAAATAAAGTATTCTGTAATGTAATATGGCATGACATAATGTGACGTAACACAGTACAACATAAAATGTCATTATTCATATCCTAAAATGTAGCTTTATATATATATATATATATCAATACAGACTGTCTCTATATCATACATAACAACTGAAAGTGTAACAAAAGCAACACACCTTAATATGACATAAAGCCAGTATTCAATATACAAGAAAGAATTTCTGATAAAGGTTTATGAAAGTAGCTGTACATGTCTTACAATATTCATATAGTAATCTACTTTTAGTTTTGGTAATAGTATAAGACACATAATATATCAAAATATGCCTAGAGCAATATTAACAGAACTCGACTGTAATGAAAATATGCAGTCGATGTACATTCAATATACATGGTATGTTATCTGTTGAACGGTCATGAATGTACCAACAAATACAACATGATACACAACAACACAACAAATAGAATAAACACAGCAATTCTTTTTGCTACACAATTCAATGTAATGTGGTATGTTGCGTAGGCTCCAGGTCGGTTTTCCACCTGTGTATTGCTTCAAGCCCAATTGTGCGTAAAGAACGGTGGCATTTGGTAAGTGCTCGTACAAGCTTAGAACCCCAAGCCGAGCGCTTATCGCCACTCAGGGCCTCCAGCCTACCCCTCGGGTACCTCCCCGCACCCTCCCAGACAAAAAATAAAAGGCAACAAAAGAAGCTAAAAATAAATACCACTCCTTAAGTAAGCCTTACGACCCTGCACATTATCAAAACAAAAACTTCATGACAATCACCCGGCCACAAATTCAAGGGAGTCTGCTCGTCCGTTGCATGCTTACGCACGTCGTCCAGAAACATCCCTCCATGCAACTTCGGTCCGATCCAAAATGAATCGGCCCGGATGCTACATATAGTTACTAGAGACTCATAGGAACGTTTGTATAGCTAGGGCTTATCAGGCACTCTCCACCCCAGTACTTGCAGCAACCACTACAAGCTTACGCAGAACTTACGCATATGGTACTGCTAAAACTGTCAGAAGGTAGGTCCCCACGGGATACACATACATACATACATACATACATACATACATGCATGCATACATACCTCTACTCGGAATCGTACCTGTGCATACGCACGTACAGAAACATACATGTATACAGATACATATAGATTCACGCATCCCTATCAAAGTGCATATACATATGCATATACGGATATGCACAGATGCCTATATGCATCTATGAGCATACATACATACATACATACATACATACATGCATGCATGCCTGTCTGTCTGTCTGTCTGTCTGTCTGTCTGTCTGTCTGTCTGTCTGTCTGTCTGTCTGTCTGTCTGTCCGTCGGTCCGTCTGTCTGTCTGTCTCTGTACGTGCGTATGTACGTGCGTATGTATGTATGTAAGTATGTATGTATGTATGTATGTATGTATGTATGTATGTATGTAGGTATGTATGCATATATGTAGGTATGTATGCATGCATGCCTCTATATGTGTATATGCATATATGGATATGTGTATGTGTATGTATATATATATATATATGTATATAACAACAAGATGTACTTACCTTTATACGTCTTTGCATGTATACGGAGTTTGCTGCGTGTCGTAGCCTTGTACATATATACATATACACATAAATACATGTACACACCTGCACATATGCACATCTATACCTATCTGCATATTGCATAGATTAGCAGAAAGCGTCGCACTGCAGGACCCAGTTTTGTAGCTTCTATCTTTACACCATAGGCAAGGATTTTATAGAGTCGCATACCACTTCAAACGCAAAAAAGCATACAGCTAACATACACATACAAAGAGACAGGACGGACGGACGGACGGATAGACAGATAGACAGCCAGACAAACAGAGAGTCACTCTATGAGCAATGCTTGGCAACTTGCACAATCTGAAGCCCGTTGGACTGCACCCTGCATGCAGGCCTCGCAGCGTCGATTGGAGCCATCTCGGAAGGGAGCAGTCCTTCTGCGAGGAAAAAGCAGCGAATTCGGTGGGTTTAGCATTGTATTTCACCACTTCGTGTTACTTTATGCTGTATGCTATACAAGACAGTATGTATATACAATACAAATATACATCCATCTATCCATGCATTCATGCCGTGCATTAGGACCCCATGGAGGGTAAGGAAAAAAGAGGCCCCCCCGATCTTCCGGAACTCCCACTTCTTAAGCTCGAGGACAGCTGAGATCTTCGGAAGGGAGTGGGCACTGCACACTGCGGGTGGGTGGGCGGGCGGGGTGGGTGAGGATACCCTAAACCCTAAGCCCTAAACCCTAAACCCTAAACTCCTTGGTGCGGGTCACTTAGAAGAAGTGCCTTGCTCTCAATGCCTTTATGACCATCGTGCTCACAAGTACGTGTAAGCCTGCATCTCCCGAAACACGTCCTGCCGCCGCACTTGGCGCAGAAGGGCACAGATCGGTGCCACTCCGACAGCCCCACGGCGGTGGACAGCAGCGCCGCGTAGTCATCCGCAGCTAACGCATCCAGGACGGAGGGGCCGCTGCGAGAGCGCAGTTTGCTCCACTCGCCCTCCATGGCCGGAGCCTCGGGCAAAGCCGAGAGGTCCAGCAACCAGAATCCGCGCGGCCCCGCGGCCCCGTCTTTCTTCAAAGTCCTGTCTGGTGCTGAGTTGGGAATGGGGGAACGGATCCCTATGATAGTCCCTTAAGGTCCCCTTATAGTAGTCCCTATACATAGGGAATGGATCCCTATGAGAGTCCCTTAAGGTCCCTCATAG